ATTCAAAACACACCTCATGAGTTTGCAGTCGGTACCGAAGAACTAAAAACTATTAAAGCACTTCAATTGCTTTGGTCACTGCTTCAAACTAAAAACATCATTCGCATACTAGCAAAGTTACTAACAAATTCCGACATGATACACGTCATCTTCCCCCGCTGTTTTTTCCCAGACTATTAACAGGTAAGTATAATTTCAAATATTCCTTACTAATAAATTTAAATTAATACTAAACATTCTTTACTCATGTTTCTTTTAGATTTTTGGTCTTCATACCACGATCATTTGCAAAAAACAGAAAAGAAAAATAAAAAATAAAAATTTGTTAAAATTATTCTAAACTTCAATAATATTTTCACAAAATAATCTGATAAAATTTATACCAAATGAAGTAAATTAATTTATAAATTATTTCCCCATAAGGCAGTAAAATTAATTATGATGAAGATTTATAACTTTAAATTTCCCCCAAAACTAGCAGTAAAATTGAAATTCTGTGTAATAAATTAATAAAATAAAAATGCAGTACTAACCTTTTGATATTTTCATTCACTCGCACAAGATTTCTATCCAAACTCGCACAGCTCGCCCGCGAAGAATTGTTTAAATAATGAATTTCAGTTTCAAGTTTTCACACTCAACAACTCTAACACACGATAACAAGTTCCAAACTTTCCTTTAACCCGGTTGGAAAGGAATTATATACTAAAACAAACTAACCAACGCAGCTTACTAAACACCACAAATCATAAAATAACAGCATGACTAAGAAAAGAAAACCAACGGTACCCAAACCGGATTAACCCAGTTTAAAACTGGATAATTTATTCTTTTGAGGACTATTATAAAGTCTAAGAAAGAAATAATAAAACACAAAAAAGTCGAAAGACAAACCCATAACAAAAACAATTTGATTTTTGAAAAAAGAACACAACCAAAAGAACGTAAGAAAGACCAACATAAAACCAACATAAAACGTTATCACATAACAGGACCTCTTAAAGAAACCGCACGAAATCATACTCCCACTCCTGGCCTAACCCACCAGAGAGGACGTCCTGAGCATGCTCTATAGCCGGCCTAACCCACCGTGCTACATCCACGCTTTGTGACCACACTTCTAGTTTTAATAAGAGGTACTCAAGGGTGAGTAACTCTTCAAAATAACCGAACTAAAACAAAATGCTTTTGTGAAAACAACTAACTAAATTCAGAATTAAAAAACTGAACTAATAAAAATTTTATACAATGTAAATTATACCTTGCAGTATATAGATCAGCACACAACAACAAAGACGAACATCCAAAGACAAAATGACCCCACTACACTTGAACAAGAATGGCTAACCACAACCGATATTCCGTCCACAATCACAACTCAAAGGATTTAGAGTACGACTTGACTTCGCAGAAAAGGACTTCATTGAACTAGACCAATGACCACCTCGATGTTCAAGTATACGTACAGATCCGAGTTATAAGGCATCCCCTCCACGCACAATCTCCACGCCATTCCCAGACGAGGTTGAACACAAAACAAGTTCTCTACATAATACAGAGAAACCCGTCATAGCAAACCATTTTGAAATCAGATTGATTTCGTTGGGAAACACAGTCGTTGTCACAAGAAGACACAACGATTGATGCCCCTAACTCCAGCGTCCTGGAACTTCTCTAACAAGAGGAACCGGACAAGAATACGATGTTCGCCCAATACCAACGTTCATCATCCATCCTTTGAATTGCAGAAAGATAATTCTAAAAAACTCTGTAAAACCCGGATGGGTGGAACCTGATCCAAACTACATTTTATGATTGGATAAATTAGATATTTTACCACTGTAAAGTATTTAATATTAACCAATCATGATCCATCTAACTAACAACCCACTTATTTGTAAGTGCTGAAATTACTTGTAATTTCAGCACCAGAGAGATTTGAATTTATTTTAGAAATTAGTTGTCTCTCCAAGAGAACTTCAACAGCCGCAACAAACCAGTATACCCTAGATCTATTGAGCCTAGCAGAGACTAGTTAAACACCCTGAGACTAGAAAGTATAAGAGTAAGATTAGGATCGGTATTAGACTAAGAAGTTGCACGAATCTATCCGGCCGAAAATAAGATAGCGTGACGAGCAGACGGTGTACCCTATCCGAAAATACTCTATGAGTTAACCACATCGGTGATAACTCACTTTCTCCAACCCAACCAAATAAAATACGATTTTTAACTAGCATTTTTTGACGAAATTGTTTTAGATCAATGGAAAAATATTGTTGTCCTGAGCTCAAAAATGAAAAGATATTTCACCTGTGATCGTTTTTTAAGAATTATGGGAGTTCAAAGATTGTCAATTCAGTTCAATTTGGGACAAATAACACAATATGTAAGCGGTGATATAAGCGGTCAAATATTAACTCAACTTATTTTTTTCTTTTTTTCAAAATTACTGCATTCTGATCCGTTGAAAATTCGCATCGTTCGATAATTTAAAAAAAAACGAATAACCAAGTGAAACAAGGGGAGTTGAGAGATTGTTCATGTGGTCCGAAGTTTTGTTGAAACAAGTAAAATAACTTTCACATAGTATATTGAAGAAGTTTTACGAATAAAAGCTATTCATATCTGCAAAAGACAGACACGGCTCGAAAAAACTCGGTTCTTTTGTTATATTTGCAATTCTGCAATTTTCTCGCCAAAAAACGATAAAAAAATTCCCACCTTTTTAGCAGACTGCTGCTCGTGCTCGGAGGTGGAGCGATAAGCACAGTGATATAATAGCAGAAAAAATCCAAGAGCAGAAAGTATTAAATTGTTTGAACAAATTGGTAAAAACAAGTGTTACAAATATCAATATTATCAGAAAAAAGCGAATAGATTATTTATAAAAATGAGCAACTCGATCGAGTTTTATTTTAACTTAAAAATGATGAAAATATTCAATTAATGCATTTTCTTGGTACTATTGGTTATCCAATTTATTGTTTTTTTTTCGATTAGCCCTGTATAAAACAATAAATTAAAGTTTTTTTCTGCACTTTAGACTTTTTCCCGGGCCGAGGTACGCAACTCCTGCTGCAATACATTTGGGTAGCAGCCGAAATTGATTTTCTGCGACCGAAATTCCGTACTCCCACAGGAGGCGTAGTTTCCACAAATTCGCAACATGGGTCACGCAAAGTCTCAAAATGTTTCACGAAAAGTCGCGAAATGGGTCGCGCAAACCATTAGACGCAGCATGGGTCCCACAAAGCCGCAACAGGTATCCAGCGTTATAAGAAATTTGCAACAGAATATAAGAAATTATAAGAAAATTGAATTTTTGACGTTTTTTGCATTCAAAAACGTAATACAGATGCAAAAAGAAAATTTTATTTCAGTAGATAAATTTTTTTAATATGCAGATAGCTAGACTAACATATTTCTTGTTCATATAAAGACCGCCGTGAGAAAGCAAACACCAAATTTGGTTCTAAATAAAACAAGACTGCTCGTATCAGGGCGAAGCCCTTAATGTTCCGACTGACTTTTAAGGTTTATGGAGCAGTGATAAGATTCAAAACTCAATGAAAGAAAACAAAATGAAAAATTTTTTTTCCTAAAATTTGAAAATTTTTATGAAAATCATCCCCCCACACGCCATATAAACTGATGTTAAGATTGCTATACCAGCATATTTGCTAATCATACAGAAGAAGGACTACGCAAAGTCCCAAAAAAAATAAATGGAAAATTTTAGGGCAATGATAAAGTATTTACCACAAAAACAGAAGCAAGAAATCAATCAAATAATACATAAACTTTTAATTTAGAATACCAGTCATCAATTTTAATATATAAAATTATATGACAGACAGTTATCACTTACCTAAAATTTCAAACGTTTTTTTTTGCTATTTGCAATAATTGACCCTCTCGAAGAATAAAGTAATAATAAGTAATAAAGTTAAACAAGACTGCTCGTATCAGGGCGAAGCCCTGAATGTTCCGACTGCCTTTTAAGGTTTATGGAGCAGTAATAACATTTAAAAAATTCAATGAAATAAAACAAAATTTTAAAAAAATTTTCTAAAATTTGAAATTTTTTTTATAAAAATCATCCCCCCACACGCCACATAAAGTACAAAAAGATAGATTTTGCTCCTTGTAACAAACCAATTATGGCAAACAAGCTTCTTTTAACCAATTTGGAACAATTTCTAAGACGGATTAACTCTCCGCTTACGCGTTAATAGCGCGAAATATATCTCGCGTTAATTGTCCCGAATTGGCCAAAATGGCAATCTTTAAACCCCTGTAACTCTACGAAAAATGATCACAGGTAAAATATCTTTTCAAATTTGAGCTCAGGACAACAATACCTTTCGAATGATATAAAAAGATTCCGTCAAAAATGGCTAGTTAAAAAGTCGAAATTTGTCTGAAGAAAAAAAAACCCACCCCGAGCACAAATATTTCGTTACTTTCGTATCGAAAGTCGGAACAACAAGAATAGCCGGTTGCTGTGCAAGTAGCATGGAATATTCCGACCATATTCATAAGAAAACATTCCTAATTTTTTTTCCAAAATGAAAACGTTATTTGCTCGCAATGTGAAAACAAAACGGTATAGACGTGTGAAAAATAAGTGAATTAGGCATACTCGACATCATTTTTTACAAAAACAAAGAAAAAAAAAGAAAAAACTGAAAAAATCCAATCTTTTTATACAAAAATTTTATTTTTTTTTGTTGGAAATTTTTGGCTTGGCAGCGCTAAATTAAGACGAATGCTCGGATGCTCATTGAGTTGCTACCTTTAGGCACGCGCTGATTCTTCGCCGGTTGATGCGGTGATAGGTAAATCAGACGATTTACGTAAACAAGACATTAAGACGACAAATGATGTTAAATTATGTGAACCGAACTGTTCGAATCTAAACGAATTATATTCCTCAGAAATTCAAGTGGAGAAATTGTGTGCACTTTGCCTTAATGTTCCATCAAAAATTGTTGTCATCTAAAGAGCTGCCAAATCCAACTATTACTTATTTAATTTTTTACTAGCGTTTCATTACTTGATTTTTACACAAACTGAATTTAACAGCGTCCTTTCAATCTACTTAATATACAACTCGATATTTTTGCTTATATTCATTGATCTTTTTTGACTCTAGTTTACACCTGAAACACTTTATAATACCATTAATACTTATTAGTATATTACAGCATTGTCAGCATTTAAAACTTGGATACACACACCAATAATAAAACTAGATTAAAAATGCAAGCCTCAAAAAAAGTAACTGCGCGATTATGAATGATTTTTGTTCTGATTTAGAAAAAGAATTTCAGCTTTTCATTTAATTAGCGAATGTATTTGTGTGAATATTTTGGTTAATGATTTCTTCAGCTAGGACGCCAATTTTTTTTCTCGCAAACTCGGTGCTAATATGAGCTGAATTCTTCCATACTATCACACCATCAGAGACAGAACCAAAAACAAACAAGCTTGATTGGTTATGAAAAATTAAGGGGCCCAGGTCGATGTAATAGAACCTGTCGTATGTCTGTTTCAGGTCTTTGAACAGATTTCTCATAACTTCTATTCCGCTATCGTACTTCAGTTCTGCTTGGCACTGATTCGCGTAATTCAACCAGTCGTCTTTGTGCAAGTTTTTGATTCTTTTCAGGCATTTTTTCGGCTCATTTATTGCATGTGGATGCTCTAATAAAAATACTCCAGTGGTATACTTCAACGCATATGGTACAAATTCAAAGTAAGCTTGCCGTATAAGTTTTTCCCATTCCAGTAGATTATCATCAACGCTTATACCGCTGAAGTTTCCGTACCATAGTTTAACTTTTTGTATGGTCCTGGTAAAGAAAAATGTTAAATTTGGACGTGTTTTTGTGAGATAAATTTGTGCTTTAACACGATAAGTTTGATAATTATAGGTAGTATCACGTTCGGTTTTTTCCAAGTTCGTCAAATAAGGCGACGCGCTCTCCCACATATGAGCGTATTCAAATGATATGTTGCATTCTTTTTTCAACTCTAGAAATGGTTCAACCCACGCTTCGGTATAAGAATCACCAGTGAGGAAAATACTTCCAAATTTGCGAAACTCATTGCAAAGAAAATAGAATTTTTCATCGGTCGAGTTGGTCGAACTCTCATATTGCATGTTGACTAAAGCAAGTGGTTCGTCTTGTGCTTCTTTCTGGCTTCTACAGCTCGAAAAAACTATTCCTAGAAATGCAGTTTGGAGAAAAAGTAAGCATAAGAAGAAAGCCAGAATATGGACGGGCTTGGGATTAAGTTTAGCGATCAATTGCTTCGTTGGAGTTTCCACCAGGAAGTGTAAAACGACTGCTGCAAGAAATGTTACAATCAATATCTGCACTGCACGCAATGGTCCATCAAGTGCCTTCAAAAAGGGACTTAAAATTCAGAATCAGGCAGCATTAAGAACTAAGACTAAAACATCACTTTTTTAAGACCCTGTATTTCAAATTGATAAGTCACAGAGGCACTTATGATCCAAAATTGCGCTCAATTTCAGGCCATAAAACTTCCCACGAAATATCAAAACAAAAATTATTTCTAAAAGTTGTTTATTTTATATGAAAATCAAGAAAATTGGTATCCTTAAAAAAATTAAAGATAAGCTTCAAAATTTAAGTCCCTGCCTCAAGACCCAGAATATCTCCGAACTTAGAGATTGGCACGTGGCAAAGGTACATGCCATAGGAGAGATTTCCAATGAAGCAAATTATTTTATTCTCAAAAAACTTTGTTTTAATTTGCCCATTCTCGGAGGAAATTTCCAGAAGCGTAAAAAGAGCAAACGATCCCAATACTGTAATTTGACCTAAAAATAAACTGTTTATCTGGGTAAAAAGTAGCACAAATAACACAAATACCGCCAACAGACCACCAGAAAGATAGTCGGAAACTTTTTCAATTTTTGATTCTTTCTGCTCTGGCTGCTTGTTAAACTGATTTTTTGTCTCTCTCAAAAGGATAACAACTGCCAAAACAGAACCTGCAAGTAGTTGGTAAACACGTCCGAAAGTAGAAAAATAAGAAATCATTGGGTTTTGATCCCATAAGTGGATATTATACGCACTAGTTATGAAAAAAGTGCCAACGAAAGTGAAAAATAAGTATTTTAAGTTTTTGCGACAAACTGACCACAAAACTGAGATTAGCAAAGGATAAATGAAATAAAACTGTTCCTCAATTGAAAGCGACCAAAAATGTATAACTGGACTTTGGTCAGACCCTTTTTCTGTAAAATAATCAGTCGCAATTCTCAAAGCATACCAATTTTGACCATAAAGCGAAGACCACAAAAATGAATTCTTATGTCGTTCAGTATATTCAGGGAGCTCGATAAATATGTAAATAATCGCTGTTAAAATCAGAGCCAAGCATGAAGCCGGAAATAATCTGGTAAAGCGTCTACAATAAAAATTGGAAAAATCTATTCGATCGTTGTTGTAAAGTTCTCTGAGCAAAATTGAAGTTATGAGGTAGCCCGAAAGTACGAAGAAGACATCGACGCCGACAGAGCCATTGGAGAAAGCGGGAAGGTGGCAGTGGAATAGAATAACGAGAAGACAACAAATACCTCGAATGGAATCTAAATGCTTGCGATGTTTGAATTTAAGCATTTTGGTCGTCATTCCTGCAATAACCATCTGAAAAAAAAAATGCATCGTTATTTATGAATGCGCAAACTCAACACAGATCTTTTTGTAGAACGATTCTGCTTGTAAAAATGCGAAGCAGCCATAATTCCAACCAATCGCCCCTAAACTATTTTAGAAGAAGTATGTCGTTATGCTAACAAAATCCTCGAACAATATTTAAATCTTCAAAAATAAAGACAATTGTTAGTAGACTTGCTTCAATTCAGATTAAATTTTTTATTAAAAATTTTCGATTTTCTTGAATTTTGAGCTTTTTTAGATAGGCATTATGAAAAGAGTAATAATAAAATACCAATATTGCTCTTTCTTTAACAATTCATCATTTATTGAAGTTTCTTAAGACGAAAAACCATAAACAATTTTTAAAATTCAGATGATGTAACAGGCTCGCCTTGATGTTCTAACGACCACTAATCAAAGTTTTTCTTTCTACAACAACTCAGCATTAGATTCTCATTTTTTTTGAGAGTGTTCAAAATGAAAAATCTTTAAAAGTTTTTAAAAATTCAGATACTATAGCAGCCTTTTCTGGAAAATCTTTCTCATTTGGAAGAACGGTTCGTTTTGCCTAGTGTTAAATATTTTCAAGAACGCAATTTAATTTTTAACGCAAGTAATGGACCAAACTTCCATAAGTGCATAATAGCAATTTCGAACCCACATAATTCTGCATAAAAAATTTTTGTTAAAAAACACTAAAAAGCTTCGAGCTCGGGCATCAAAGTTTTTCAGAATACTTTTTAAAACACCGCCAAACAGGCGAAGATCTAAGAAATTCTCGAGGGGGGGGGCAGTTTTTCGTTTAACATTTGGAAATTTTGTCGACCTTTTTTTTATAATGACCAAAGTGATTTTCTGAGCTCTCCGAATTCACTATAAAACCGGTAAATGGAGTAAATTTGTATCGCCGCAGGCAACTTTTTGAAAAAAGGTCAAAAACGGCGTAGATTTACTATAGATTGGGATTGGCGCCAAAGCCGCCTTTAGAAAGTTTTAACGTCAGTCAGCCAAAAATGGATATCTCAAATTAGACAATTAACGCGCGATATAGTTCGCGCTATTAACGCGTAAGCTGAGATTTAATCCTTCTTAGAAATTTTTCCAAATTGGTTGAAGGAAGCTTATTTGCCATAATTGATTTGTTACTAGCTGCGAGATTGCTTACTTCGTGCTTGATATTGCGTGTGGGGAGATTATTTTTACAAAAATTCTCAAACTTAAAAAAAATTATTTAAGTTTTCTTACATTTAGTTTTTTCATGTTTTTACTGCCATAGACCTTAACAGGCAGTCGGAACATCAGAGCTTTGCACTGATGCGAGCAGTCTTGTTAAATTTGGAAGCCTTTGGCTAATTAATATGACCAATTACTTCCCTAAAAATGAACAAATTTGAGAGCTCGATAATTTGCTACGCGTAAGTAATTGTTCTTTAATCATCTTAATAATAACATCTTAAGGCGCGCATAAATTAGGCTAATTATATGTCCTAAGTAGTAAAATTCATACAACACTTTTACCAAACATTTTAGCAGTTAAAGTAGTTTTTTGAATTCGAACTGAGGGCATAAAATTTTTTCGTTGATTGACTGGTCTAAATAAAATCAACAAAGCATTAAAAATCTATAACTTTAATCAAAAGTTGGAACAAAAACAACCCTTAGTACAAAAGTTGGGTATTTGTATCTTTTCTTGTTCCTGTCAAAAATCAATTATTTAAATGCACCGATTTTAAATGAACCGAGTTTTCTTCATTATTTTAACTCGACTTAAACTTAAGCAGAATTAGCCAAAAGTTTTAAGTATTTTGAAAACTTTTCAATATTGTTTCAATGAACTTACAGAGTTTATCCCAGACTAGAAAAAACACAGGTAATAGCTACGGTAACAAACGCTCAACAACTGGCAGAAATTGTTAGAAATCGAAAATGTGAATCAAACGAACCAGTGCAATCAGTGTTTTGTTCTTTGTTTATATACATTGAATACTCTAAAGCTGCAATTAGAGAAACTCTAGCTGAATCAAGGAAAAGACCCAGAAGATTTTGTCCTTTTTTGAAATTGAAGCAATAATAAAAAGATTGAAATAGAAACTTTTATGGAGAATGGCTCGAAGACAGTTTGAATTGAACTCCTTTTTGTACCAACAACAAAGACCTTTCTTTTATTATTTTTTTTAAAATATACTGTTTGTCAAAAATGGTGTGACGTTTGTCACGTTAGATTTCAATAATTTACTTTTTTCTTACAAACATGACGGACTTCAAAGTGAAATACTCAACATTTGTTTGTCAAGTGCAATTTAAAAGCGAGCTGTATAAATTTATAAGCAATCCAAAAACACATTATGAAACGGAAGTATACATGGTCAACTTTGGTTTGATAAAAAACTGCCACCGAGAACGATAAATGAAACGGCGCGAAGTGAGCATGCAGATAAGAGTTAACATTGGATTTGCAAGATTTGTGTTCTATTTTTTCAACAAGAGATCATCGCTGCAAAAAGAAGCACACTATACAGCTTCAGCGGGGCACTAATGCTAGCTTTGATAACGAAAACTGTAAGCTTTACCAGAAATCAATAGAAATATAAGTGTGACCTTGTGAACTTGTGACTTATTACCGTTAAGAGATCGCTGCAGTTTAGAGATTTCTGTTGATTTCTGGTGGAATTTACAGTTTTCGTTATCAATGCTAGCATTGGTGCCCAGCTGAAGCTGTATAGTGTGCTTTTGTTTGCAAGCAAGGTTCATTCACCTTCTCAATCATGTACTTTCCTTGAAAATTAGAAGAAAAAAAACAGAAAGAAAAGCAGAAAAAGCTGTAAGCTCACAAATATAGGTACCTTTTTCTTCGTTATATTCTTTTTGTTATGTTACAAGAGCTAATAAAAGTTTCATCATTTAAAGCCGAATAGTTCGACGAACTTGTGACTTACTTCTGGTTAGAGAGACTAATTTGCTTAAGCTTATGTTCAATTTATAACATCGAACAAAAATTACTAAAATCAATTTGATAGATATTTCATTCACCTGCTCAATCATAGATCTTATTAAAAGTTTATGAAAAGCTTGCTCTTTGAAAAACAACAAAAAAAATCTCAAAAACATAGGGGGTCTGTTTTTATCAAAGTTTTTCTGTTGCTTTATTTTTCTTGTTTTTCTTTTCAAGTCAAGTATCTTCTATAGATCTTCCGATTTGTCCAATTTGTGATGTTTTTGTTCATTGCATATATAGTTTTTGTCACCTTCAGGCTATCGGCGTTGAAGAAGAGGATTCGGTTTGATCACTATCTTCTGTTTCATATTGTTGGTTGTAGAACTCAGGACAAACAAAAGCGAGGCATATTATTGAGATTTGAGTGTTTTTCTTGCAGTAGTTTCCCTGTGTTTTTGAGTGTTTTTCCTGTTTTTTGCCTGATCCACGAATACATTACAAACCTGTGCTGCTATCGGTGGTGTGGTTGCTGAATAAAACAAGCAAGACGAGCACTAAATAGAGTTGCTTTGATTTTTAATTTTATCATGTTATAATGTTTCATCGAGTTGCAATGCCTAAAGCGAACGAAATTTTGGGTTTTGTTTCTGAATCCGTTGTGCAGGAAAAAAATGCGCCAGAAGCAGGAGCTGTATATGAAGCATCCGATAAAAAGCGCAAAAAAAATTCTAAAGTCGGATGTACGAAATTGTGGCGAGGTTTTTGGAGCAGTTAAAGGCAAAGGCGGCAAAACCAATAGGGTCAGTTCAGAAGAGGCAGTATAAATAAGTTTCCGCTGTGTTGACTTCTTTTTTTTAAACCATAAATTTTCTTCGGCTGAAAAAATAGTGAATTAGCTCAAATGTTCCATTCCATTCCCAATATGTTTTTTATTGTATTTTGGCCGGTCATTTCATAGCGAGATATGGCGCAGTGTTGCTGAGGGATTGCATTCAAAAAATGAGGGTTCCTAGTATTTTATTTAGCCTGGTAAAAATTTCAATTTTGCGAGTAATTTTGTTACATCTGTGAACAATTTTTTTGCTTTTCCGCATTGGTTGTTGCCTTGTTGAAATCGTCCACGTTGAAGTTGCTGTTGATGAGTTCGTTAATGTGAGGGCCTTTGTAAGTTTTCCTCATCACTTGTTTGAACAGCGAAGGTCGCAAGAAATGGCGTGCATTTAGCACCAAAAACAAAGAGACTGTAAAAATCTGACCGAGTAAGTCCCAGGTGGATCCGAAAAACTTTTGGTCTTCTGTTTGGACAGAAATTTACATCTTTTAAATTTGTACATAGATGGAAAATTTCAGATCAAGTTTGATCTGCGGTCATCGTGATGTCTGTGAAATTTTTAAAGATGAAACGTCTGTGCAGTGTAAGCTGCTGTGTTAATGAGTGAAATTGGCTTGCGGAAACGTTTATGCCTCAGAACTACTTGGTTGTGGAAAAATTATTGCGTGATGTGTATGATTGTTTGGCAAATTTTGATTGTTTGCGATTTTTCTAAATGTGATGTTTGCTGAAAATGAGAGCTGTTGCTGTTGAGCAGACGTGATTTTTAATAGTTTTGCATGATTTTTGGATTGGGCGCTATTGATGGCTTCAGGAGTCCTGTCTGCTGCGATGCTGTTTCTCATGAGCAGTCTTCTGTACTCAAAGACAAGATCATCTATTTTGTCTTCAACTCCAGTGAGTGTAGACAGGAGTTTTTTTGGCTGTAGGCCGTTTGTCGAATGGTCAAGGATGTAAGTCATAGCTTTCGAGGCTGCTTCAGAAAACTGTTTTCGCATAATGAAGACGTACAACGTTTTTTCAGTAACCCGAACTCTTCACGTAATGAGAACGTAAGGTACTGGGTAAACAAAAGGAAACCAGTAACCACACAAAAAAACACCTACTTACGATTGCAAAAATTTTTCACGCAATTTGTTGCAACTTAGAGCCGGTATTTCTTCTAACAATGCATATGCTTTTTGAAATATTGAGTGCCGAATAAACTCAAAAAACTCGAGATTTTGCTTTCCCCCGAGTTTTTCCAATGAAACAGCTTTTTTATGATTTTTTGATTTCAAGAGCGAATTAAAATTTTAAGAAACTAGGGCAGTTGGTTTCTATATATCTTGCGAGTGTTAAATTTGTGTTGTTTCTGGTCAATGCGTATATATCTGCGGTCATCATTTATGTGCACTGCTGTTTTTTTTGTTGCGGTAATTCGAAGAGCAAAGAGTGAACTGTACAAAAGCATTTGTTTTGAAAATCAAAACATCATGCGATTAGAAATTTTCTAACGCCAAAAACTCTGAGTTTGGATGTTCAAATGCAAAAAAAATCAGCAGCTTACCCTTGAAATTCAATTTTTTCGAATTTCAATTTTTTCGTAATGCCTCCGATACAAATGCATAAGACAGCAATTTAGAGAAAAGTCCGCAGAGCAAACAATTGTGACAATTGGTAGCTATAGGTTTTGGCAACTTATAACACTTTACAAAATTGCTGACTTAAACATCATAGCCGACAAATTTTTTGTAACTTCAAAAATTTCTGAGCGTACTGATTTGATAGCACGTTTTTCTAAAAATTTTCTCATGATAAAAATTACAACGAGTATATGGTACGAAAAAATCATATTTTGGTTCGTCGTTTCATTTTAGTGAACAATTTTTGTGTTTCAGGGTCTTTTTTTTGTCAATACATTCGATAACATGTATGAGCTATGAACCGAGCAGCTTCTTTTATAACCAATTGGAGCCTTGTCTGAAAACCAACTATTATACTTGTTCCGACGACGTCACTGACGGACTGGAAAGGTTTATTGTTTAGTTTAGCTTGAACAACCTATTCGACAACCTCAAAGAAAAATTGTAGTTGCATTAAGCCAATTATCTTGCATTAAGCCTATTAACTCAATAAATTTTTCAAATGATACGGATTCTGAAACTGCTCACTAAAAAGGTTTGCGTCCAGAAAAATTCATCTGAATTTTTCCAGTTTTCAGACTAGCTACTATAAGTTTGGCGAGATCCAACGTGACTTTTATAGAATTATTAGTTTCTTCTTTTTACTAATCGTCTAATTAAATGCAGACCACATCTCCTCGAAAAAATTTAAAACGAATTTAAAAAGCTTACAAAAAGTTAAATCAAATGTCGTCGGAGCATTTAGAGCAATCACGAACCACCTATCCTTTTTTAAGAAACTGAAAATTGACAACGTATAAACATCTTTTTTTGGTACTATTTTTCTTCAATTTACTGATATAATAGTGCAATTTTGTTGTTTTATTGAAGGCTAATTTACAAAATTTTTCGACAGTGGAAAACATGTCTCAGAAAAACATGTTTTTTAATGCCTAATTTAGCTTTTATCTAACACTAAGAACCCTAAAAACTCTACAAATGAGTCATTACTAGGCCAAACTGTGCATTTTGCGAAGAATTTTGCTCCAAAAACAGGCAACTTTGCGGAATCTGCAACAAAATTTGTGGAATTTGGAACATTTTGTGGAAACCATAAACAAATAATATTATACGTTTTTAGCAAAAATCAGCTGTCGTGGAAGCCGCAACTGTAAGTGGAATCCGCAAAATGCAAGTAAAATCCGCATATTGTAGACGGATTCCGCAAACTTAAAGCAGAATCCGCAAACTGTAAGCGCCAACAGCGTAAATTTGCGGAATCCACTTATTTTTGCGGAATCCACTTACATTTGCGGAATCTAGAACAGCTAACGGTTTTTGCTGGAAGCCACAACTGTAAGTGGAATCCGCAAATTATAAAAAAAAAATCCGCAAATTGTAAACGGATTCTGCAAATTTAAAGCGGAATCCCAAGTTGTATATGACATCCGCATAAATTTGCGGAATCCGCTTACATTTGCGGAATCCAGAACAGCTAGCATTATGCGCTCCTTGCGGAATCCGCAACAAAACTAATATGCCGACATAGTTTACGCTAAAAGTATTCACGGAATCCATGGAAGTTTTGTAAGTGGAAGCAACTTAAATTTTGGAACATTCTTAAAGACTTGTTTCTGGACTCCAAGATCATGCGGACAAAAATTATGCGCCTATCCAGTGCACAGTTTGGCCTCGTAATTATATAAAAAACGGAAAAAATTGAGGAATTTTGTAAAGAATTTTCGCTTTTGATCTTCATTCAGGAAATATAATTCTAGTCAACTAGGACTCTGATATTTGTTTCACAAAACTTTGGGTACTT